CCCGCGATAAGTATAGCAAATATATTTTCTCTCCCCTTCCCATAAACATGTGTTCTTTCACGTCTCGTCGTGCTTATAACTTTTCGAACATAAATAGTGCACGCGCTTTTTGTCAAAAACATTGGTCAGTTTACGTTGAAATTGTAATTCGTTTACTTAAATTAATTAATTTTTAAATGAATTAAAATTAATGTTAAAGCTGGATTCTTTCACCGTGATGTCATGCCAAAAGGTGTCTTTTCTATTTTTAAAAAAGACCCTCTGTTGATTTATGATTTGGTAATATTTATTACAGTTGTATATTTGATTATTTTGTTATAGCTCAATAACTTTGAATTTGTTCTGAGAAACAGTCAAACTTCAGACCAAACTTTTACGCACTTACTTATTTAGTAGTTTTAACTGGCCATCACTTTTAAAACAGCAAGAAGATAAAGACAACGTGTACGTGTGAGTTATCCATGAAATAAATAGTTCGTTTACAAAATGAATTCCGTCTTCGTGGATAAAATTAATGAGTTATAAATAATCTCTCCTGTATGTGTTAAGCTGCATGTAGGGATTTCCTCCGGTATATTTCTTCTCTTTTGTATGGCTGTTTGTGGTTACGCGTTATGTGACATATATTTTTGGTCCAATTTCAATTACATTTATCCCGGAGGGTCTACACTGCAGGTTGCAGGTTAATGCAGGTTGCAGGTCGGTGCAGGTTGCAGGTCGGTGCAGGTTGGTCTAAACTGCAGGTTGCAGGTCAGTGCAGGTTAATGCAGGTCAGTGCAGGTTAGTGCAGGTCAGTGCAGGTTAATGCAGGTTAATGCAGGCCGGGTAATGGTTCATGTACATTAGCCTGTGTTGCCCAGCCGGTTTGACAACTGGCTTAACATTACATGGGGCCAAAAAATCACGTTCAAAGTAAGAAAATAGCATCACAGTATCGACGATAACCGACGTTAATAAAGTAATCTACAAACAGGCCGCAATTTTTTAAAGTTTGAATATAATTTAAGGCCTTGATACACTAGGGAAAGTTTCCTAAACAAAGTTTCTGAAACATTTTTTTAGGTGGAAAAACTGGAAGAATGTGGACTCCAAGGAGATTCATGCTCAAAAAGTGAAAAATCTTCCCAGTCGTTCAAAATAAAACAAAAGGTTTAAGATTTTTTACGATACGAATGAAACTTGTTTCATAAAAGTTTGTTTTGGAGACTTTTCCTAGACATAGTGTATCATCAGACTTGCTCCAAAGAGAGACTTGTCAACTTCGGAAAATCTCGGTTCAATACTGAACTGAAAGACTTGCTTTAATTGTTTTCTGTCAGTGTGTATATGTATTGATCTAGCACAGTGTAAATAACATGAGTTCCATTATAGTAAATAATACAGAAAGAAATTGAAGGAAATTAGGAAAACAATTATTGTCAAACCGACTGGGCAACACAGGCTAAAGTACATGAACCATTACCCGGCCTGCATTAACCTGCACTGACCTGCATTAACCTGCACTGACCTGCATTAACCTGCACTGACCTGCATTAACCTGCACTGACCTGCATTAACCTGCACTGACCTGCATTAACCTGCACTGACCTGCATTAACCTGCACTGACCTGCATTAACCTGCACTGACCTGCATTAACCTGCACTGACCTGCACTGACCTGCAACCTGCAGTTTAGACCCTCCGCATTTATCCAACCATTTCTGGATGATACATCTAGAGCACAGGCAGTACTCAGTAAAAAAAAAGTCAACTTGAAAGGGGCCCGACTTTCCCAGAGGGGGCCCCGGAATACTGGAATTGCGCAACGTGTTCTGAAAATTGAGGTCGAAAAAGGTTTGAACCCCCCATTATTGCAAAAATAATTGTTGGAACGTTTTTCCCAAGAAACGTCGCCCCACCCCTTCCCACCCCCTTCCCACCCCCCTTCCCACCCCCTTTCCCACCCCCTTTACATTTTACTGAAAATTTTGCTTACCAGAAAATATTTTGGGGGCTCAAAGGAAGGGGGCCCAATTTTCTGCGGTTACTCACAACCGATGCGCGTCCTGGTAGTAATACTCTATTTGTAACAGGAATATTTCAAAATGCTGATAAGGAAATCAGTACGTCTAACTATATACGTTAATTTTGCGATAATGGGGGGTTCAAAATACTTTTCAGACCTTTTTCGGCCTCAATTTTGAATATTCCTTAATATTTAACACGTTGCACATAGTGATTAAAAAAGTGATTAAGAGTTTTATACAACCGGCGCCAGCAGAAATGGTTGGATAAATTTAATTGAAATTGGATCAAAAGTATATGTCAGATAGAAAATAATGAACTAATCGGCTCGTGCAAGTGGAAGACGAGACTCTGTTCTCAAACATCGTGTGACCTCAGGTGTCCCTTCATTTCTTTTATCACAATCATTAAGAAGAACGCATTACCCAGTGACAAGAGACGCGTATAACACAAACAGCCATACAAAAGAGAAGGAATATGCCGGGGGAAATCCCCACATGTACCTGTAGCATTTAACGCATACAGGAGAGCTTTTTTGGAACTCATTTTTATCCACGAAGACGGAATTCATTTTGTAAACCAACTATTTATTTCATGGATAACTCACCCGTAGACGTCTTTATCTTGTTGCTGTTTTAAAAGTGATGGCCAGTTAAACTACTAACTGCGTAGAAGTTTGGTCTGAAGTTTGACTGTTTTCTCAGAACAAATTCAAAGTTATTGAGCAATAACAAAATAATAAAGTATACAACTGTAATTAACATTACCATATCACAAATCAATAGAGGGTCTTTTTTAAAAATAGAAAAGACACCTTTTGGCATGACATCACGTTGAAAGAATCCAGCTTAAATATTAATTAAATTGAAACTCTTTGCGAAGTCGTCCTCGAGAGGTTGACGACTAGAAATTTCATATCTTCGGTTCAGTGCACGCTATGAAGACAGAAATACCACCATTCGGTTCAGAAATAAAATATCAACTAATTCCGAACGATAGTTATAGTCATTATTAACATTGTAGCGATTTATGGGAGTTTGAAAATCTAACGCGATCGTATACTATCAAATTACGCGATTGTCTGAACAAAAATATAGACTAGCCATACCTTTCGCCGAAAATAACTTCGGCCCCTTCAAATATATTGCCTTTGCAATAGTCTTGTTCGAATCCCCGTCAAAAACACTATTCAGAGTGTTATTTGCAAGCCTGTATCTTCAAATTTGCATCTTTTATCATGGTATTTCCATTTCTTGTCCGGCTGTGAGCTCGAGGCTAGAAGTGAGCTAACCCAACCGGAAATACGACTAAAAAAACGTCAAAACAATGCGATGTTTTTGACAAAAAGCGCGTGCACTATTTATGTACGAAAAGTATATAAGCACGACGAGTCGTGAGAGAACACATGTTTATGGGAGGGGGAGAGAAAATATACTCGCTATATACTTATCGCGGCATATCCCTGATACTGTAAAATATAATTAAAACCAAATCAGCGGCACCGGCTATCGGGCATTACCTGAACAATAAGCGACTGTAAACAATGTGATTTGGACCTAAATGCTTTTAACCAATCGTACAGCTTTAGCAAAGGTAGTTTTATAGGCCTAGGCTTCTTTACTCGAAGAAATAAACGCTTTTGACGAGCTCTTTGGTTATTTATTGAACTACATGACTCGACGCTGATTATATAACATGCGGTTATTCGGGTCAAATAGGTGTTACGAAAAAAATCGTCAAAAATTCAATTCTAAGTTGCCCCAAAATTTTATTTGATCAATAGCAAGCGAAAACATGTTTCTTTGACCTGGTTATGAATTTTTTGTCTGAATCGATGTAACAATGGAGATATTTGCTGCCTAATATGTCATATAATAAAGAGGTTCGAAAATAAAAAAACATTAAGAAAATCTGTAAAATATTCACTTTTTACAGAAATGTCTCTAAATTTCGTCTGCTAATCAAAAAATAACTCTAATTTATAAAACGAAAACATGTTTTGATAAATATTCCCATTATCGTGCAAAATAGAGCGATTTTGGTAGTGCCGTAAAATGACCTCTAAAAACCGAAAGTGGCCTGGGAAAACCAATTTCGACGTCTCTCTCCTTCAATATTTTTCCGATCGAAATAAAACTTTCACAACATTAATACTTCATATCGGCCTACATTCTGACAAAGTTTGTAGGATTTTGAATTTTCTCATTTTACACGTCTTACCTGACTATTAGAGACAACCGCTTTTAAGCTGTTATATTCACCTACAGGTGAATATAACAAAACCGAAATTTTCAAAATGGCGGCTAGATAGATAGATAGATAGTGTATTTAAAATTCACCTTGCAGCTGGACAGCTGAATTGCGTGATTTACAAAAGTATATAAAACATTATTTAAAAGATAGAATATGGGTTAATTAGGCATATTTACAAATGGTCATTAAAACGCTTAGTACTAAAAATTACATTAACTTAAGTTACTAGACATAGGAATAAAAGGTTTTTTTAAATCTTTCTGTATTAGTTTCGAATCGTTCAAACAGTCTATTGTTCCTAAGCCATGGTAAACCGACTCATGTTTGGGAGGCAGTAAATTATGCAGTTTGTGTGTCGGATTGTTAGTAATATTTGTAAAAAGTTTGTTACACATTTCTTCGCGTCTTTGGAACAAAGTTTGAAGATTGAAATCTTCTAAAGTTTCGCTATATGAGTTCGCGGGTAAAATGATCTTCAGTGCTCGCTTTTGTACCGACTCAAGATCTTCTGACAGGAAGGATGGGATTGAGTAATGGAAAACCGGGGCACTATTCCAAAATGGGCCTGATAACTGTACAGTAGAAGTTTACAATGTCTTTCGGACTGACTTTTGCGCGCTTAAGTAAGATAATGAAGTAAAGACGTTTGTTAGCTTTTTTGATGACTTCGTTAATGTGGTTAGTCCATTTAAATTAAGGTTACTAGAGATGGTGAGGCCTAGAATTTTAGCGTTTTGGACAACCGGCAATTTCTTCCCGTAGACTGTAAGAGGGTCGAAGTTCTGTTTCGTGGATTTAAAGTCGATTTGGAGTTCTTTACATTTATCTGCATTAAGAAGTAATCTGTTGGAATTCGACCAACTAGCCGTTTTGTGGAAGTTACTGATAAAAAATAAGCGAAATTAAAATAAATTCAGTCCCAAAAACACAAAAGACTTGTGTAAAAATACTAAAACAAGTATTCGCCTCAGGCTCGGTGATTATCGGGGAATATTCACCTCGACTTCGTCTCGGCGAATATTCCCCGATAATCACCTCGCCTTCGGCGAATAATTGTTAAATACAGCGTTTCCACTTGGAAGGAAATTTCCTTCCAGAAGGAAATTTTGGACTATATGGAAGGGAATTTGGAAGGAAATAGCATTTGGAAGGAAATTGGGAGGAAATATTGTTATAAGGAGGGAAATGAAAAGGAAATTCTATTTTATCTCATAATTTCTAAGAATAAGGCAATTTTCATACAATTTTGTGCAAAAGAAGACTCTGAAAATGCCATTTCCAACGATCTTAAGACTCCATATTTTCAAAAATTTTCGCTTGGGGCTGTGGGCCGCCCAAAGCGAGATCTCGGAGATGTTTTTTTCTTCCAAAGTTGGCAACTATGTATCTGGCACAGGACCCCAGAATCGCTATATTGAAATAGCAACCAAACTTCGTACCCAGGGTATTATTTCTCAGACTCTACCCGGAGGGGGGGGGGGCTACTTGGCGTGGGCAGGAAAGACCCTAGGGGTTTCTTGTGTGTGTGTCCAGAGCGGAGAGATTGCAAGAAACAGTTACGGAATCTCTTTTCGCACCCACAGCAAATAACCCCCATCTATTATGCTTTTTGTCCCCCCGGGGCGAAGATGAGCTGATTTTAACTGGCAAAATAGATACAGAGTCATCTGCTATAAATTAATATAATGTGTTTCAATAGTAGAGTTTAGATGTTAATTACCAGGTAAATCTGTCAATTTTGATAAAAATTTTGAAGGAAAAATGGAAGGATATTTAGAGATTTTTTGAAGGAAATTTTATGGAGAAGGAATTTATTTTTTAGGGAGTGGAAACACTGGTTAAATACTTTCATAACAAGTACGATCGTACTATAGTGGACCAGGAACTGCGTGACCCAGTTTCGATCTTGTGCAAATCGTTAAATGTTCAAAACCTTCGAGATTTGACTTGATAAACAAATAACTATACATTTTAGTCTCAAAATTGCATGGCAGCGTAGACTGAGTTCGCTAAATGTTTTGCTTTAATTTGGTCATGCAAGATAAACTTTATCCGAGCAAAAAAATGTGTCTATATAGTCATGCCGTGTATAAATGAGTGTAAATCTGGACCACAGTATATGAAAACTACAGTAGGGCCACTCAGTGTAAAAAAGTGTCCACATTGTTTACTGGCTGCCAACCTAATTTACATATTGGCAGCCAGTAAATGGCAGCAGTTCACTATAAAATTGTATTACAGAGTAATGAGTTTGGCCGCGTAAAACACCTGGGACCTAGCTTGAATAATTCCCACTTTTCTCTCCCCTAAGTGGCCCTACTGGTTGTCTCCCTATACTGTGTCTGGACAAAGCATATAGATAACTAAATGCGCAGTTTTCAAAAGTAACTATATGCTCGTATTGGAATTAGATAAGTTAAATGTCCCACAATATTAAGACTAAACATGTCGTGTCTAAATTTAACTTTTGCCGTAACAAATTTTGCCGGGCCGTGCGTGCCATTGCAAAATATTGCAGCTACAGTCGTGTATACGTGCCGTGTAAACGGCCGGGACTTAAGTTAAGGTAACAAATTATCTGAATTGTTGCTATAGTATAGGTTAATGCAGTTCATTTCGCTTGGTAATGGCTTCATAAAGGCCTGATTCCACGGACACTTTTTCTCGGCGAAATGCGAAATATTTCGCCTGTTTCTTTTGAATTGTGAGCAATCAAGGAGAAATAATTTATTCGAGTAGTCGCAATTCAAAAGAAACAGGCGAAATATTTCGCCGAGAAAAAGCGCCCGTGGAATAAGGCTTTAACTGCATGCTTGTGCTAAAAACAAATTCAGTGACATGTCTTTGTTTTTATGGTTCGCGATTTTCTGGCTATGCATGCATGACTGTGAATATTATATGATAGCCAAATAGGAGTATAGTACTCCTCTGCGCTTTGAGAAACTAAGCCAGCGTTTTAGATTAGTCAACTTAAGTCATCACGCTTATAATTAATCGTCATAATTAGCCGTCCACATTCTTGAGAAGCTTTAGGCTATTGTGATTATGTTCACAACGAACAATAGAAAAAAATGTCTTTCTTATCATTTGCGTTTGCTGATATATTTGCTGAATATTAATGATATGTATATATTAATTGCCACGAATACAGTCAAAAATTGTTTGTATTTCGCTTCTAAAGTCAAAAATGAAAAATCGAACACCGTCAATCGATGCGGAATATTGCTTAGAATAATTATGTCAAGCTTCATTCCGATCGGACAAGTAATGACGGAGCCTTAGGGGTTTTTTTCGAAGAGCGTCGCCCCCTAACAACAACAACAACAACAACAACAAGATTAGCAGCGATTGGGGACCAGTTCTTGGTCCAATAAGGGTGGACCAGTTCCTGGTCCAATAAGGGTGGACCACTATACTTTCATGATGAGCGTGGATGAGGGTCACTGGTTGCATCACATGTATGGACTGGGCTAACATGCAAATCAGTGGCAGAAAGTTTGTTGGGCTGGAGTCACGGGCGCACATTCAACAAATTTCTGGGGGGGGGGGGGGGTTCGG